GATCTGGTGATCTGATCATAAAAAGCCACCAGGTTGGTCTGACAGGACCTGCCACTGATGAACCCGTGCTGATTGCCCCTAAGCATGCAGTCCCCTGCTGGCCCCTCCTGGATGTGTGCCAGAATTATTTTCTCAAACAGCTTGCCTAGGATCGAGGTAAGACTAACTGGCCTATAGTTTCCCAGGTCCTCCTTCCTCCCTTTTTTGAAGATTGGAACCACATTGCCCCTCTTCCAGTCCTCCAGCACCTCTTCAGTGCACCACGAGAGCTCGTAACGCTGTGCCAGGGGACCCACAATGACCTCAGCCAGTTCCTTTAGAACTCTAAAGATGAACTAGATAACCTGACACATTTTTCCAACAGACATTGTAAAAGTTGCTCATGCAAGCAAGCCTTGCAAAAAGATATCCCAAAAATTTTCACCAGTGAAGCAGTTCATTCTGGAACTCCTTTCTGAGGACCTATTATGCATGGAAACATGAGCAGGAGGCATGGGGTTGAGGCAGAGCATGAGGAAGAGAAAGAAATGTTTAACCATGACCTTACCTTAGAATTCCCAGGAGACAGCATTTCTGGACAGAGCAGGTCCTCAGGAATAGCAGAAGAATGAAACATGAGAAACCTGTAAGTTTCACTCTGCTGCCGAGGACAGTAAAAGAAGGCTAGGATCATGTGGGAGAACGAAAAGGGAAGGCAATGGGACATGGAATAACAAACCAATAGCTCATTCTCTACCCAAAAAAGGGTAGGAGACAAGAGCAGCCTTCCTAAACTCTACCCCCAACAATCAGGAAAGTTGTAAGTGCTTTAAATTAGAAAGCAAAAGACCTAGGGCATGTCTATGTGTTCATTAATGTACTGTTGGTAATGCATATTAAAATTTAGTACCTCCATTGTGAGGTACTAGAACATGGCACGTGTGGCTCAGGGCAGACACTGGGTAAAGGGCCAGAGCTCTGCCACAACAAGGATCAGGCCCCTCGTAGCTTTCCTGCCATCTGCCCCTGGCACGCCAACATTTTACGAGTCAAGGTTACAAGTATTTTTGGCACTCTGCCCAAAAAAGTTGCCAACCCCTGTACTAAAAAAAGATGCATTAGCCTATTTTAATGTGCATTAGTGAAAGTGCATGGCCTGTGACACTTTAACACACATTAAGATAAGATAATGCGCACTAAAGTGCATGTGTAGACTTACCCCTAGATTCTAATCTTAGTTGTATGATCTTAGTCTGGTCAATTTGTTTCCACTTCTTTTCCCCACTCCGTCTTGTATATTTAGACTATACTCTAAAACAGATTTTTCCCCAGACTTTGGGTGCAGATACACAGCATGATTAGTACAAAGTAGTTTACCTGGTTCTTATTCCACATTAAGGAGCAGGCACATGACTAATTCACCAGGGCTGGCTTCCTGCAATATGCACATATTCCAACCCTACAAACTATGAAACTTTAACTATGGAAGAAAGATAATTTACCCTGTAGTAAGTGTGTCCTATCTTCACAACCTTTTATCCTTGTCAAAGTGTCTAGGCAGTAACTTTCTATCAGAACAGGCTTCCTGTATGAATAGCCAGGAGCTTTTATTTTTATAAAACCACTAGGCAATATCTATGAAGATTAGGCATTGCAGTGGTGCTGCCTATGTTGCTTCCCTGTCAGTCCAGAACAGAAGCAAGAAACCTGCCCCACCACTTTCTTCTGCTTCACCTAGGCTCAAGCCCAGCAAGTAGGAGAAATCAACAGCTTGGAGGGGTTTCTAAGCACATGACAGAATTTGAGCAGCGCTGAGCCTGCACACACCCAACCTCCTCCAAGCTATTTCTTCCCCTCAATTGACGGGCTCTGATGGAACAAGGGCAAGTTGATAGAGCTTGCTTCACAGCAGTGGCTCTAGACTTAATGTGGAGCTAGTACAATCACAAGAAACATGAATCTGGCAGGGAAAGGGAAGGGAGGGGGAAGACTGCATACTAAGCAGCTAGCAAATGCCAATAAGGCACTGAGCTCAGTATCAGGAGTGCCTTTGAAACTTCCTCTCCTAATTCTAACAAAGGCTCTTGCAATTTTTTCCAAGTCAAATTCAGCTCCAAGGGTAAACAGTCCTACACATCTCAGACATCTTCAGGAAACTATCACAGTAGTCCAAAGAAGGTCTAAACTTAAAACAGGTTAGACAAGTTCTTCCAAAAGTAGGTTTTCCATTCTACTACGTATATACCTTCACTGATTTGGACACTCACCCACCACATCCAAATTGCCTTCTCCAGAACAAGGACATTTAATTTATGGCAAGCCATCAAGGACACAGAGAATAAAAGCAAACTATGAAAGCTTTAACGTTCATCCTACACAGATGAGTAAGTCAACCACCACCCATTGTTAAATGGCCAGAAAGTGGGAAATAATTCTAACCCCTCCTCCCCAGTTTGAGAAAGAAAAACAGATACAAGCACACAGAGCCAAGGAGAGTGCAAGTCCCATAAGCTTTTCAAGAGAACAACTTTTAGAGGCAAAAAAGTGGTATTTTAGATAAGTTGGATAATGCTAAACATCTGCATCTTTTGGGAAATAACAAATGTATGTGATGCATTCAATCAAGCAGAACTCTGCTCAGTATCAATAATTTTGAAACAATATTAAACAATTGTTTCTGAAATCAGGATGTTAAGATTTACTTTTAATGATATATTTCATTACATTTTTTCAGGTGCCTTCTGAGATGCTGAAGTATGCATGTTTCCATATCAGAGTAGCATGTGCACTATTATTTATATAGCTCATTTCTAAATGTATAAACAAACTGTTCACAGGAATTATCATACATAAAGCAACTAAAATCAGATTTGTATATAAATTGTTTAGAATACATTTGCATTATACAGTTAGAAATTACTCTAGGCTAACAAAACTATAGGTCACTTCCTCACAGAGACAAATAATTTTTAGATGCTTGCTTATATCCCCATTATAAAATTAATGGCCTACTGCAGCAAAGGAGTAGAAGAAAGCAAAAGGAAAGAGAAATACAGCAGAACATCCAAGATAAAGTGCCAGCATTACTACTGGATGATCAGATATCAAAATAAAGCCACACAAAAGATGAGTGGAATCCAGAGACAGCCTACTGATTATAAGTCTGGTCCTTCTTCTCCTAAAACCCCTCTGAATTGCTGAAAAAGGAAAGATTTTGGGATTCCCACCAAACTACTGCTGCTGGACCCTGGCTCAGAGGAAGCCATTACAGCAGTGCACAGAGCCGAGTCATCCAGCACATGGAGCTCCCCACGGGTTTGGCGGCAGGGAAGTGGTGGCAGTATTAATTCCCGCAGGGCTCTGGGAGCCCCATGGCAATTAACACTACCACCACTTCCCTGCCACTAAGTTTATGAACCCCACCAAAGCCCCACAAGCTGGAAGACTGCACTCCCCATGCATCCCAGACCCAACACAGAGCAGATGCGTCCCACCCATCCAGCCCACGTACCAGAAAGGTTGAATACCACTACTCAACAGTATCAGACTCAAGTATACAAACGGTGATGCCCACACCAACTACTAGCTGGGTAACAGACCACCAAACAGCATGCTCAGAAGCTTACATTTTTGGAAGGATGAAGCTCAAGTCAAATGTGACCCAATATAAACTGTGTATATAGTCTAGCACACCTATTGCTTAGTTCAGTAAGCTATTCCCCTTTGACTAACAGAGCCACTCACAAAGTTAAGAGAGTTTATCTGAAAGAAGCTTTTCTATATTCTCAAACGAGAATGAAAGCAAAAAAAAAAAAAAAAAAAAAAACTTTTGAAAAAGGAGCTGTGTGTTCAGTATCCACTATTGTAAGAGAGACCAAACCCAGAAATGTCATCTGCCTCTTAAAACCAACATATTATCTTTCTAGTTTTACAAGTCTCCCACTCCTTGAAAACTCTTCTTCATTTCTGAGAGTCACTACTAGGACCTCTTAACTGAACATATTTCTGGAGACCCGTTCAGGATTACATTGATACTGCTTCTTAAACTGCTTTGAAATGGTCATGGAAGTGATGCACAGCATATTCTTTCTTATAGGAGACATAGTAATTCTAACATCTCAATGAGGCAGAGGAAATAAAGGACCACCTTTCGGTCAAAAATTATATGCTAGCACAATACTTGCTTTCTATCTGAGCTTACTTCTCTCCCTTCCCCACAACTCCAAAACTACATCCATGCCACTGCTTGTGCACTCAGTACTTTTAAGTACATCTAAAAAGGACATTCATTTGATCCTGGCACTTTCTGCAACAGTAAAACAGCTATGACTTTTTTTTTTTTTTTTTTTTTTTTTTTTTAAAAAGGAAA